ACACACACACACACACGTATATATATACATATATGAATGTGTGTGTGTGTGTGTGTGTGTGGTTGGTTGGTTGTGTGTTGGCAGCAGCTCTTTGAGGCTGCTGGCCCTTTAAGAGAGGAAGAGGATGAGCCCACACCCTCCTCCTCCTCCTCCTCCTCTTCCAGCACATTGTTCTGCAGCTCCCGGTGAACGGCGGCTTCCCTCCGTCTGCTGCTGCTACCGGCTACGGGGACAGACAGGGGGACAGACAGAGGGACAGACAGGTGTTTGTGACGTGTCTCTGTGTGTGTGTTGAACAGAGCAGTAGCGGGGCGGTGACTGATGGATCAACCGGCGGAGACATAACCGGAGACAAAGACACAGGAAGACACGGAGACAGACTGAGGGACAGACAGGTGGACAGACAGGCGGACAGAGAGACACAGACAGGTAGACAGACAGGCGCTATGTGCGGAGGCACGCGCTGCTGGAGCGACAGGCACGAGCTCAGGTGAGTGACAGAACAAAGAGTTTCTTTGATTTCATCCGCTGATGCTCCTACTGCTGCTGCCATGGCAACCATCCCATAGTCTGAGGTCATGAGGGGAGGAGAGGAAACAGGAGAGGAGGGAGGGAGGGGAGTAGAGGAGACACGAGAGGAGGGGAGGAGGGGAGAATAGGAGACAGGAGAGGAGGAGAGGAGAGGAGACAGGAGAGGAGACAGGATAGGAGGGGAGGAGGGGACAAGAGGAGACAGAGGAGACAGGAGAGGAGGGAGGAGGGGAGGAGAGGAAACAGGAGAGGAGAAGAGGACAGGAGACAGGAGAGGAGGGAGGGAGGGAGGGGAGGAGGAGCGAAAAGGGGAGGAAACAGGAGAGGAGACAGGAGAGGAGGGGAGGAGGGGAGAAGAGGAGACAGGAGAGGAGGAAAGGAGACAGAAGAGGAAACAGGAGAGGAGGGAGGGAGGAGAGGAGACAGGAGAGGAGGGGAGGATAAGGAAGAGGAGAGGAAACAGGAGAGGAGAGGAAACACGAGATGAGAGCAAACAGGAGGGGAGGAGAGGGAAGAGGAGAGGAGACAGGAGAGGAGGGGAGGAGAGGGGAGAGGAGAAGCGAAGAGGAGAGGAGACAGGAGAGGAGGGAGGGAGGGAGGAGAGGAGGAGCGAAGAGGGGAGGAAACAGGAGAGGAGAGGAAGGAGGAAGAGATGAGAGGAGGGGAGGAGAGGAGACAGGAGAGGAGGGGAGGAGAGGAGAGGAAGGAGGAGGAGAGGGGAGAGGAGAGGAAACAGGAGAGGAGAAGAGGAGAGGAAACAGGAGAGGAGAGGAGAGGAAACAGGAGAGGAGAGGAGGAGAAGAGAGGAAACAGGAGAGGAGAGGAGGGAGGAATAGGAGAGGAGGGGCGGAGAGGAAACAGAAGAGGAGAGGAGAAGAGAGGAAACAGGAGAGGAGAGGAGACAGGAGAGGTGAGAGGAGAAGAAACAGGAGAGGAGGAGAGGGAAGGAAACAGGAGAGGACACAGGAGAGGAGGGAGGGAGGAGAGGAGTACTGAAAAGGGGAAGAAACAGGAGAGAAGAGGAAGGAGGAGGGGAGGAGAGGAGACAGGAGAGGAGGAGAGGAGAGGAGACAGGAGAGGAGGAGAGGAGAGGGGAGACAAGAAGACACAGGAGAGGAGAGGAGGAGAGGAGAGGAATCAGGAAAGGAGGGGAGGGAGGAAAAGCAGAGGGGAGGAGAGGGGAGAGGAAACAGGAGAGGAGAGTAGGCAAGGAAACAGGAGAGGAAAGTAGGGAGGGAGGAGAGGAGACAGGAGATGAAACAGGAGATGAGTGGAGGAGATCAAATGAGTTTCAATAATAAAGATTCAGTTTGTCTCAGAACACATCAGTCTGTGTTAGTAAACAACTTCCTGTTTACCTGCTGTGTTTACAAACGTGACATCATCAGTAAACATGTCACATCTGTTTCTGCTCTAACATTTAAAGATATATAGTTAAAGGCTGTGGTCCCATCCGTCTGATGTTTCTGCTCTAACATTTAAAGATATAAAGTTAAAAGCTCATGGGAGGCTCCTGGTTATATTCTGTAAGTATATTCTGTCTTCATATTTGAAGAAAAAACAGAATCTAATTTATTTTGTATTTTTAAAAATGTGATTGTTGATAAATAAACAAACAGTTTTCTGTAAATGAAAGAAAGAAACAAACAAACAGTGAACGTTTCATCAGATCACAGCTTTAATTCAGCAGGTCAACAGGAAGAGCTACAGGAAGTCCACTTCCTCACACACACGCACAATATACACACATAATACACACACACACACACACACACACACACGCTGCTTCTGCTTTTGTCTGTTGTCTGTGTGTGTGTGTGTGTGCGTGTGTGTGTGTGTGTGTCCTACTGTGTGTGTGTGTCCTACTTTCTGCTCTTTGTTTGACGGCTTCATTGAAAAAACACAGAGACAAAGAGACATGAAGACATGAAAGAAGTGAAGAGATATTTATAGAAAACTGACTCAAAATAAAAATGAATTCATAAATAAATAGATAAATAAAGAATTGTGTTTTAAACTGATATAAAATAAAGGACAAATATTAAAGAACAAATAAAAACAAATGTCCACAGAGGACGTGATTCACAGATAAACATGACAGAAATTTTGTTTATTATTGTTCTTAATATTGTGAATGTTGTTTGTAAACCTAACCCTTACATTTTTAATTTTGAAATTTTTAATCTGACTCTTTCTCCTTGACTGCTGTAACACTGGAATTTCTCAATTGTGAGAAATGAGGTGTATCTTATCTTATCTTATCCTATCAGAACATGATGAACCACATGTGATGACATGTTTCACAGGTTAAGGGACAAATATTAGAAACATCATACATCATGTCTAAAAGATTTAAAAGTATTTTTCACCTGTAAAATAAAATGTTATATATTTTATTAATATTTAATCGTCTGATGTGAGACAGACTGAAACTGTCTCCTGGGACCGTCCTTGTCCCCGATGGAAGACAGGAACAATAAACTTCATCATTGACCTAGACTGACCCCAAACTGGGTCAGTCTAGGTCAGTCTGGGCCAAACAGGACCAAACTGGGTCTGTTAGGGACAAACTGGGCCTAAACAGGACCAGAGTGGACCAAACTGCATCAGTCTGGGCCAAACAAGGTTAAACTGGGTCCATTAGGTCCAAATAGGGTCAAACTGTTTCAGTCTGGTCCAATGTGGGTGCAAAAGAAGACCAAACAGGACCAAGCAGGGCCAGAGAGAGTCAATCTGGTTACAGAACAGGGTCAGTCAGGTCAAAAGTGTGCTCATGTGGTCCCTGTCCAAAATGTGTGCAGGAGAAAAGGACCAGAAAGGGTTAACCTGTGGTCCCTGAACAGTCGAAGACCCGTGTGGTCTCACCTGTCTGTGTGTGTGTGTGTGTGTGTGTGCGTGTGTGTGTGTGTGCGTGTGTGTGTGTGTGTGTGTGTGTGTGTCTGTCTGTGTCTGTCTGTGTCTGTCCAACTAGCCCAGCGCTGAGGTGAGGCAGCTTGTGATTGGTGGTTGCCATGGCGCCCAGGCCGTCGTCTGGGGAGCTGTGGGGGCTCCACCTGATGCCCCCTCGCATCCTGGTGGACTGCTGCCTGCCCAATGGTACGCCTTTGTTCTGTTCTATGTTGTGTTTGGTTCTATGTTCTGTTGTCTGATGTGATGTCATGTGTCTCAGGGATGATGGTCAGTCTGTTGTGTTTGGTTCTATGTTCTGATGTCATATGTGATGTCATGTGTCTCAGGGATGATGGTCAGTCTGTTGTGTTTGGTTCTATGTTCTGTTGTCTGATGTGATGTCATGTGTCTCAGGGATGATGGTCAGTCTGTTGTGTTTGGTTCTATGTTCTGATGTCATATGTGATGTCATATGTCTCAGGGATGATGGTCAGTCTGTTGTGTTTGGTTCTATGTTCTGTTGTCTGATGTGATGTCATGTGTCTCAGGGATGATGGTCAGTCTGTTGTGTTTGGTTCTATGTTCTGATGTCATATGTGATGTCATGTGTCTCAGGGATGATGGTCAGTCTGTTGTGTTTGGTTCTATGTTCTGATGTCATATGTGATGTCATGTGTCTCAGGGATGATGGTCAGTCTGTTGTGTTTGGTTCTATGTTCTGATGTCATATGTGATGTCATGTGTCTCAGGGATGATGGTCAGTCTGTTGTGTTTGGTTCTATGTTCTGATGTCATATGTGATGTCATGTGTCTCAGGGATGATGGTCAGTCTGTTGTGTTTGGTTCTATGTTCTGTTGTCTGATGTGATGTCGTGTCTCAGGGATGATGGTCAGTCTCGAGTGTCTCAGAGAAACTCCTCTTATCAACATCAAGCAGCAGCTCTTCACTGAGGCCAGGAAGTACCCGCTCTACCACCTGCTGCAGGTACGTCATCGCTGCCTGACCTTTGACCCCGCGTCTCACCATCACAGGTGCTATCAGTTGTTATAAACTCTCCCCTCTGATTGGCCAGGAGGAGTCGTGCTACATCTTTGTTGGCGTGACCCAGGAGGCGGAGAGGGAAGAGTTTTATGATGAGACGAGGCGGCTTTGTGACCTCCGACTGTTCCACCCCATCCTGAAGGTTATCGAGCCGCTGGGCAACCGAGAGGAGAAGATCCTGAACCGAGAGATAGGTAACACACCTCACCTGTCCTCACCTGTCATCACCTGTAATCACCTGTCATCACCTGACCTCACCTGTCCTCACCTGTCATTACCTGACCTCACCCATATGGAGTTAGATTTGTCTCATTAATACCTGTAAATGCACATAGGGTGATCTACAAATATTTCTTGATCTGCACACGTTTCATAATTACACAACACCCTGGTTAAGGTCTTTGATAGAGCAGCTGTTGGTGTTGGTAGCTCTTTTTGTTTAGAAATGTAATGTTGTAGTTGTATTGTTCATTGTTAATATGTAGATTGCGCTAAGCTAACGTTAGCTACTGAAACAGCATCTGTTGCCATGGCAACAGTAAACATTCATGTTGCGGGCTGGGGAGACGGAAGCAGGGTGCAGCATTTTATACATTGTTAATAGACCAGAAGTCAGTACCATCCAACCTCTAAAGACAACTTGTGTCATGTTTCACTTACCATTACATTTATTGCAATCATGCACCCCATTTGTTGTTTTTAGCATAATTGGTATTTTCTATATGTATAGCCTAATCAGTTGGCAGTTGTCTTTGTTTGGCCAGCAGACCTGCTACCGCCATCTACTGGTCAAAGTGTTTTTGTGTCATCATGACTTACGGCTGTATTGAAACTAGAAAACTGAGCAGTTAGAACATAGACTGCATGGGTTAGATCAGATGTAGGTACACTTATATTTTGCAACATAAATGTTTAATGTTGCCATGGCAGCAGATGCTGTTTCAGTAGCTAACATTAGCTTAGCGCGATCTACATTTTAACAATGAACAATAAAACTACAATATTACATTTCTAAACAAAAAGAGCTACCAACACCAACAGCTGTTCTATCAAAGACCTTAACCAGGGTGTTGCCACTTGTCATATCTTACAAAAGTTAAAGAAACCTCACTAAAAAGATGTAACCTAACTAAACACGGTGCGGTCAGCACAGACATTACAACTACATTAGTAAGAGTACACTAATAATAAGATGTGAAGTGCTTTGTGACTTTAATCCTACTCGAAAGAATAAATGAAAACTATGAAGGGTGAGTTGGCTGATAACTGCCAACTGAAGAAGCAGCCAAGCCACCGTGCCTTTCATACTCAAACAGAAATGTATACAAAAGTGTGTGCCAGATACATAGAACAAATAAACACACACTAGTACTCACTGTATGACATTAATATAAAACAATGAATGCACGTTACTTATCGCTGATTATTATTAAAACAACAACAACAAAAAACAGCTCATAGAAAGACTGCGTGCTCTTACTTTCACATGCGGAAATGACGTCATCAGCTGGGTGATCACGTGCTGTCTGAAGATGGCCGAGTGATACGAGTGCATTTTCGTTCGGACCGGTGGAAAGTTTGTCCCAAAAATCCGTGTGTGTAAAAAGTAAATCCACACGCGTAGAACTGAGATCCACAAATGTTTTTTTGATTCACAAATAAAAACTGAGTTCACAAATGCCTGTTCAAAACTTGTAAATGTTAGGAAGATATATTCACAAATGCTTTTCATTTATTGCAAATTAATTTAATGTATTCACAGATATTTTTTGTATTTGTGGAATGTGTTTTATATTTACAGATTACACATTTACACACAGACTGTCGATCTGTTCACACACATAATTATGAAACGTGTGCAGATCAAGAAATATTTGTAGATCACCCTCTGTGCATTTACAGGTATTAATGACATAAATCTAACTCCATACACCTGTCATCACCTGTAATCACCTGTCATCACCTGACCTCACCTGTCATCACTTGTTATCACCTGTCATCACCTGTAATCACCTGACCTCACCTGTCATCACCTGTCATCACCTGTCATCACCTGTTTTCACCTGTCATCACCTGTAATCACCTGTCATCACATGTCCTCACCTGTCCTCACCTGACCTCAACTGTCATCACCTGTTGTCACCTGTCATCACCTGTTGCCTAGAACACAGTTCGTCTGCTTCTTATTGGTCCATGTCCTCACCCCTATGACCTCATCACTGATCCTGACCTCATGTCTCATCAGACTCCGCCCCCACCCTCAGACTAAGTCCGTCCTGTCCTCAGGGTTTGCCATTGGGATGCCGGTCTGTGAGTTCGAGATGATGAAGGACCCCGAGGTTCAGGACTTCCGCCGCTCCATACTGAGCGTGTGCAGAGAGGCCATGGAGGAGAGAGAGGGGGGAGGGGCCCACAGCCAGGCGCTCTACGTGTACCCGCCCAACGTGGAGTCTAGCCCCCAGCTCCCCCCCCACATCTACAGCAAGCTGGACAAAGGTACACACCTGTTGGACACAGTTGGACAGCTAGTCTCAGGAGCCCGGGGACAAGCACATGTTAACACACCTGCCTGTCTCTAACTGTCTGTCTGTGTCTTCCTGTCTGTCTCTGCAGGGAGGTTGATCGTGACCATCTGGGTTATCGTGTCTCCGTCCAACTCCAAACAGAAATACACCCTGAAGGTAAACCTGATGTACGTTTGTGTCCGTCTTGTGCTGTGAGATCACAGGACGTGTCAAAGCTGAGTCAGAGTCTTAAACTAAAGGCCAGTTCACAGTTTCTGCATCCCCATTTCCATGAATAACCCCTGTGTGGACGTCCATGTGGCCCCTCACCCTCCCACTTCACCATGTAACATTTGGTTGTATGTAACCTGATTAATGATGTATTATTTTAGAAATGAAAACTTCATCACCAGCGGAAGGCGTGGCCACAGATCAGGACCGTGTGTCTGATGATGATCCGGGGGTTGGGTCTGGTCCAGTCGGGGTTGGCCACAAAATTAAAACCGGCTGCTGCCTGGTGGTGTGCAGGTCCCCCTCGGGATGACTGTGGCATGTGGCACCAACACGTCCTGGACCTCAGAAGGACCAGCTGTACGTCAGGACACAGCAATCGAAGGTCCGACAGACTGTTGCAGCAGATCCTGTCAGGTGCCGCCATGTTGGATTTAAACCTCATCTGATCAGTTTATGTGTCCTCATTACCTCAGAATGAGACGTTCATATCTACACAGGGAGCAGGTCCTAGTCTGCAGAGATCACCATGTTGGACCACCATGTTTCTGCAGTATCCCAGAACGGAGAAACCAAATAGATAGAGACATTCATGTGTTCATAATCAGCAGCTCCTCCACAAGGAGCAAAGCCAGAGAAACCTGAACCTGTATGTTCAGAGTGTTTCCTGGTTTAAATCAGCTGCTCTGTTAGTTTCTGAGAGACAGAGACTCTGAGGATCATTCAGATCCTGATCAATGAAGGAATCTGACCAGGACAAGTTTCAGTTCTTACTGATGGACACCACTAAATAAATCCAAAACCCTGAGCGGTCAGTCCTGTCAGCTGTGATCTGGGACCTCCATGGATCAGACCGATTTTTCCAGCTTATCCCACAGATGATCGATCAGATTCATATCTGTGGAGTTTAAAGGCCAAACCTCGAACTCTGTCCTGTTCCTCAAACCATCCCTGAACACGTTTCATGTTGTGACAGATACATGATCCTCCTGGAAGAACCACTGCCATCAGGAATACTGTCACATCTTGATGAACGAGCGACAGTGCAAAGTTAACTAACGCACACTGAGTAACCTGCTGAGAACAAAATGACATAATAACCAAAATCATCCACCCACTGAGGGCTGGAATCAAAATCACCACACCAAAAGAAAACCAGGGCCCTCTGCACCAGGAGGAACCCATGGCCCTCTGCACCAGGAGGAACCCAGGATTCGCCACACCAGGAGGAACCCATGGCCCTCTGCACCAGGAGGAACCCATGGCCCTCTGCACCAGGTGGAACCCAGGGCCCCCAGCACCAGGAGGAACCCATGGCCCTCTGCACCAGGAGGAACCCAGGATTCGCCACACCAGGAGGAACCCATGGCCCTCTGCACCAGGAGGAACCCATGGCCCTCTGCACCAGGTGGAACCCATGGCCCTCTGCACCAGGTGGAACCCAGGGCCCCCAGCACCAGGAGGAACCCATGGCCCTCTGCACCAGGTGAAACCCAGGATTCGCCACACCAGGAGGAACCCATGGCCCTCTGCACCAGGAGGAACCCATGGCCCTCTGCACCAGGTGGAACCCATGGTCCTCTGCACCAGGAGGAACCCAGGACCTGCCGCACCAGGAGAAACCCAGGACCTGCCACACCAGGTGGAATCCAGGGCTCTCTGCACCAGGCGGAACCCAGAGCCCTCTGCACCAGGAGGAAACCAGGACCTGCCACACCAGGTGGAATCCAGGGCCCTCAGCACCAGGAGGAACCCAGGACCTGCAACACCAGGAGAAACCCAGGACCTGCCACACCAGGTGGAATCCAGGGCCCTCTGCACCAGGCGGAACCCAGGACCTGCCGCACCAGGAGAAACCCAGGACCTGCCGCACCAGGTGGAACCCAGGACCCACCGCACCAGGTGGAACCCAGGGCCCTCTGCACCAGGAGGAACCCAGGGCCCGCCGCACCAGGAGGAACCCAGGGCCCGCCGCACCAGGAGAAACCCAGGACCCACCGCACCAGGTGGAACCCAGGGCCCTCCGCACCAGGAGGAACCCAGGGCCCTCCGCACCAGGAGGAACCCAGGGCCCGCCGCACCAGGTGGAACCCAGGGCCCGCCGCACCAGGTGGAACCCAGGGCCCTCCGCACCAGGAGAAACCCAGGGCACACCGCACCAGGTGGAACCCAGGGCCTTCCGCACCAGGAGGAACCCAGGGCCCGCCACACCAGGTGGAACCCAGGGCCCTCCGCACCAGGAGGAAACCAGGGCCCTCTGTACCAGGTGGAACCCAGGACCCTCTGCACCAGGAGAAACCCAGGGCACACCGCACCAGGTGGAACCCAGGGCCCTCCGCACTAGGAGGAACCCAGGGCCCTCTGCACCAGGAGGAACCCATGGCCCTCTGCACCAGGAGGAACCCAGAGCCCTCTGTACCAGGCGGAACCCAGGACCCGCCACACCAGGTGGAACCCAGAGCCCTCCACACCAGGAGGAACCCATGGCCCTCTGCACCAGCGTAAGTTCTGACAATCGCTCTGAGGATTTCATCATGGTACCTAACAGCAGTCAGGGTACCTCTGGCTAGCATGTGGAGGTCTGTGCGGCCCTCCAAGGATCTGCCTCCCCAGACCATCACTGACCCACCAGCAAACCGGTCATGCTGGATGGTGTCACAGGCAGCATAACGTTCACCACAGTGTCTTCAGACTCTTTCACGCCTGTCACATGTGCTCAGTGTGAACCTGCTCTCATCTGTGAAGAGAACAGGGCACCGATGGTGGACCTGCCAGTTCTGGTGTTCTCTGGTGAATGATGGAGCTGCACGGTGCTGGGCTGTGAGCACAGGTCCCACCAGAGGACGTGGGGCCCTCATGCCACCCTCATGGAGTCTGTTTCTGACAGTGTGGTCAGAAACATGCACACCAGTAGCCTGCTGGAGGTCATGTTGTAGGGCTCTGGCAGTGCTCCTCCTGTTCCTCCTCACACAAAGGAGCAGATAGCGGTCCTGCTGCTGGGTTGATGCCCTTCTACGGCCCTGTCCAGCTCTCCTGGTGTGACGGCCGGTCTCCTGGTATCTAGTATCAACCTGATTGGGCTGCAGGTGCCGCCCCATGCTACCAGTAGTGATAAGGACACTTGCAGAAGACCAAACTAGAGAAGAATCAGTCAGGAAGGATAAGGAGAGAGCAACTGTCTGTGGACACCACATGTAAAACCATTTCCTGTTTGTCTCTCCATTGTTCCTGTTGTCTCTTTGATTTGACCCAAAGCAGCTGAAACTGATTCACACACTGGAATGATAGTTTAACTGACTTCCTGTTAGACTGTGACCTCTAACACTGTGACTATTAACACTGACCATTACCACTGTGACCTCTAACACTGTGACCATTACCACTGTGACCTTTAGGACTGTGACCATTACCACTGTGACCTCTAACACTGTGACCATTACCACTGTGACCTTTAGGACTGTGACCTCTAACACTGTGACCATTAACACTGTGACCATTACCACTGTGACCTCTAACACTGTGACCATTAACACTGTGACCTTTAGGACTGTGACCTCTAACACTGTGACCTTTAGGACTGTGACCTCTAACACTGTGACCATTACCACTGTGACCTTTAGGACTGTGACCTCTAACACTGTGACCATTACCACTGTGACCTTTAGGACTGTGACCTCTAACACTATGGTCATTACCACTGTGACCTCTAACACTGTGACCATTACCACTGTGACCTTTAGGACTGTGACCTCTAACACTATGGTCATTAACACTGTGACCATTAACACTGTGATCTCTAACACTGTGACCCTTACCACTGTGACCTCTAACACTGTGACCATTACCACTGTGACCTCTAACACTATGGTCATTAACACTGTGATCTTTAACACTGTGACCTTCATGTTTCTGTGCAGTGTAGTTGGTCGATGTTTAGGTCAGTGCTACGTGTCAAATGAAGTCCAGGACCCAGCTCAGACGTCAGCCTGTAATGATGTTGTCAGCGTGTAACGATGTCATCAGCCTGCAGCAATGATGATGTCACTGTCTGCTGTGTGTTTGTGTCCAGGTGAGTCATGACAGTTTACCTGAGCAGCTCATAGCAGAGTCCATCAGGAAGAAGAGCCGATCCATGCACCTGTCACCTCAGCAACTCCGCCTCTGTGTCCAGGAGTACCAGGGACAGTACATTCTCAAGGTACACCTGTCTGTCTGTCTCACCTGTTTCACCTGTCTATCTCAACTGTCTGTCTGTCTGTCTGTCTGTCTCACCTGTCTGACTCAACTGTCTGTCTGTCTGTCTGTCTTACCTGTCTCACCTGTCTGTCTCAACTGTCTGTCTGTCTGTCTGTCTCACCTGTCTGACTCAACTGTCTGTCTCAACTGTCTGTCTGTCTCACCTGTCTCACCTGTCTGTCTCAACTGTCTGTCTGTCTGTTTGTCTGTCTCACCTGTCTGACTCACCTGTCCCACCTGTTTGTCTCTCCTCAGGTGTGTGGCTGTGACGAGTACCTGTTGGAGAAGTATCCTCTCAGTCAGTACAAGGTAACAACTTCACTCTGAAAACAAACTGTCACAGAACAACCCCTCTCACTGTTTCCACATATCTGTCTGACTCCAGCTGTCTGTCTCCACCAGTCTCACAGTCTCCACCTGTCTGTTCGTCTGTCTGCAGTACATCCGCTCCTGTATCATCGTGGGTCGTCTTCCTCACCTGATGCTGGTCTCTAAGGACAGTCTCTACTCTCAGCTTCCTGCCTCTGGCTTTGTCACGCCTTCGTACAGGTACAGCAGCCAATCAGCAGCTGTCACACAGGTATCACAGCCAATCAGGAGCCTGCACAGGTGTCCGGTATCAGGCGGAAGATGTTTGTTGTTTGTGTTTCAGTCGGAGGACTCCTCAGCCGTCTCCCTGTCCAGGAGGAGGTGATGGTTCTCCTCCCCGCTCCCTGTGGGCCTTCAACACTATGCTGAGGGTCCGCCTGCTCTGTGCCACCTACGTCAACGTCAACATCAGAGACATCGACAAGGTTTGTCTCTGGGTGTCCTTGGTCTGTCCTTACGTCTGTTCTCGTGAGACATCTTCAGTCTAGGTGTGTGCTGTTCAGAGTCCCTGTGTAGACAAGAGGAAGTGTCCGTGCTCTGTCCCTTTATGGGAGACACTTGTCCCCACATCATGTTTAATAAAAGTCACTGTTTAGATTTTAATGTAATGTTTTGTCTCTCTGTGGTGGTTGTAGCTGCCCTTGGCTTTATGAAACACGCAGAGAGTCTCCTTTACGGGTGCAACAGTGGATTTTTATTCTCCATCCTCACCATTTACACCGTGAAACTAAAAAGACGAATACAGTCAATTAAATCCTGTTCATCATGCATCAATACACAATATAAAACACATGCTCCACATAGCAGCTAAACAAATTGGTCACTTTACAAACATTATTTAATGATTTTAATAATACATTTATCAAGAGTTAAAATCATGAACGCACCTCGCTCTGCTCACCAAGGGTGCAAACTTTATCTAGCGACCTCTTTTCCTCCTGTCAATCTGCCATTTCGGGCACTATAGCTACCCGACACAAAATTAAACACCAATTAAACAGGAGATTTAACAAACAATGAAACAACAAAGACAAATTTCAACAAAGGCACAAATAAATGTTAACTCATGGCTTTTCTGGAGGATCACCATTACTGTGAGGAGTCAAAAGAGGAAAAGAGGTAAGGAGGTACATAAAGCTTCCGGGCACTTCGCCCAGGTATTATGACACAGGTTACAGCGCCCACATCTGACAACCTCCGCACATTGTGGGTCACTTACACTCCCACCAAATTGTATCATAATGGACCAGCTCATCAAAGGTCAAACAATTCATAATTATACACAATTTCCAATCAACAAATGATTGTATATAAAATCATAAGCAATTTACACACATACATACAACCAAAATTAGCTACAGCGAACATAGGGAAAATACCCCAAGAGTCAGCGAGAGCAGGGGTGGAAGATGACTCACAGGTGGATTACACGGTAACAGACGTTGGAAAGGACACGACTATGACTTGGACCG